AAGTGACTAGAGTAATTATGATCAATTCGTAACACTAGCCTTTTGTTTTCATTTATATGCCACGTCGCCGACAAAGGGCAAAGCGTGTAGAGTAACATTTGTCCGCTTGTTTTGTGCACAAGCTAAGATTATAGTTTTTTGAAACTAGCTCGGAACAATTTTAGAATATTAATTTGTATTTTTTTAGGTTAGACACAACTCTTAGAACACAAAAATTTAAACTACATTGATTGGTTTTTGAGAGCGAAAAATTGAAAGTAATAAAGGTATTTACAAAATGGAAAAGACATTACACCTTGAAAAATAGCAAATCTAAATTCCATTTAAGCTTAGATTAGAAGGCATTCAACTATTAATCTTCCACTAAGAAGCACCACCTCATCTATTTTACAAGATTGGTTGCTTAATACTTCCATCTAGGCTTAGATTAGAAGGCATTCAACTATTAATCTTCCTCTAAGAAGCACCACCTCATCTATTTTACAAGATTGGTTGCTTAATATTAATTTTTGTCATTATCAATTTCTTGGATAAGTATAAAAATTAGCCATATGAATTCTTTTGGTGTAGGCCATCGATTCCTATAATTTGAAAATTGCTATTCTAAGCCATTTAAATTAACAGGACCAACAATGGTGACTTGTGCTAATTCATCATTAAAGCAATACTTTTGCATTGAATGCTAAAGTTTTGTTCACCACATTTACATTAGCCTAGAGAGGACCAAATATCATGAAGTGCAAATTATGCAATTACGAGGCAATTTGGGTAAAATTAATGGTTGTGAGCTTCTTCTAATTATTATGAGCGTTTGTTGCTGGGCCAATTAGTGGGACCAACGATTGGAAATTTTGCTGATGCATCAATTGTTCATCTTTGGATATACCTAACAATTTTTTAAGTAATGTACTCAATCCAAGTGACCTTCGTTCTAGTGTAACAATTTATTATATTTCTATATTTGATCGTGGCCTTCTTAATTTGTAGTGTAATGATTTATTACATTTCCACATTTGATTGTATAATTTTTAAAATTATAATATAATGAAAAATTACAATTATAACGAGGCATTATACTATAAGCTAGCATTACATAAAATGTTATATAATAAACCATTACACGATTAGGAGTAATCATGCAGGAACTTGATTATAAAAATCTTTCTCCATAAAATCAAAATACAAAAACCAAAAACATCAAATAAGGACCAATTTATTAAATTACGTAAGTAAGATGCAACTTACTTACGTACCATATACTGATCTCTAGACATATCCATTCTATTTAGAATTTACGAACTCCTAACACTTGTCATGCTTGCTCTTAGTTTCAAGTCGATGTTTTGGATTTAATATTCTTTGATCCGGAATTCGTCAAGTCATCGCAGCATGCCAAGTTACTAACGGTTTGAGGGGACCCAAACATAGGTAGCAGCAAGTACCAATCATGTTTTGATTCATTATACAGTGTCAGAATTAAAAAATGACATTAGTTCTGAAAGTTGCCTGATGAAAATTTTTCAAGCTACATGACGCATGTGGACTTTTGAGAAATTATTTCACATGCTAGAATGATCGATGAGAAGGACGTAACCTTGAATGCTAGCTAATTAACTAGTGTCTACCTTATCCTTGTTGTTAAAGATATATATATATAGAGAGAGAGAGAGATAAGTTATCAATTGGCTATTTCATCCCCTCAAGTCTCAACTAACAGTGCTCAATAATGCAAATGATAATAACATCTACCTACTAGTTTAGTTGTACCAAGTCCCAACTTCAACCACAGAACAAAACTATTACTGTTTTTCTATTACATTTTTGTCAGGGAGTCTGGACCATAAAACCTACCTTCTCTGTAAGAATAAAAAGTTAAAGTACGAAATATGTTTGAGATATTATTTAATGATTTAAACTTTTAGATTATATAGTTTTTTTGTTACAATAAATAGTAGATAATCATTCAAAAAACTTACATTACATAGATGTTTTTCTTTTCTTTTCGTCTTATCAAAATGTTCAAATCTTACATTAAAAATAAAATTAATTTTATATAGAATAGAAGTGATAAGTTTAATTCTTTTCAACAAGTGTAATTTTAAGATTTCAATCTTATATATTGATAAAAAATTTATTTAAAAATCAATTTATTTATCGTTAGATAACAACTTGTTGCTAATTTTTTATATATATGTATATATATAACCTTTGTTTTCTCTTTCTTAAACAATAAATAATTCGCCATTCACGTATTTAAACTAATAATGTGTAATCAATGTATAATTGAATAGGGTGAGTACGATCTCCAGAAACCTCTAAATATTTTTATCAATTCGTAACACTAGCCTTTTGTTTTCATTTATATGACACGTAGCCGACAAAGGGCATAGCGTGTAGAGTTACGTTTGTCCGCTTGTTTTGTGCATGAGCTGTGATTGTGGTTTTTGAAACTACCTTAGAACAATTTTAGAGCACAAAAATATAAACTACGTTGATTGGTTTGTGAGAGGGGAAAGTTGAAAGCTATATCGGTATTTAGAAAATGGTAAAGACATTACACCTTGAAAAATAGCAAATCTAAATTCCATTAAGGCTTAACCTTTGCTTATGAATGGGCATCGCATATAAAAATGCTAACTTCTACTTGGTTTTAGTGATAATTTTGGTTAGTGTTCGAATAACCTAGCACGACGACAGACTTGAGACTTGAAAAGGTTTCTTGCAGCCGTAGATGAGTAGACCTGGATTAGTTCAATCTCAGAGATGGGAACAAAAATTTTCAGTTTTTGAGGCACCTGTAAGTATGAGAATTTACACATAAGTATGGATATTACTTCTAACTCAAAAGGCTAATTAAATTAATAAATTATAAATTCATCTTATATATAATCATTTCATTTTTTCTATTTATTTTCAATACGAGATATTTACCATCCGCGTATGCATCTCTAGAAGGGAGAAAGCGGAATCCGGCCATGGCCAACTGATTTTGGCCTCAATGTCAATAAAAAAGCATAATTAAACGAAAGAGTTTCTCATAAGGAATTCATAGACATGTAGTTTAGACTAGTTTTTCACTAAAATTGGGACATTTGATCGGGTTTTGAAAATTTTCAAAGGTATAAAGTTGAATTTTAATCTAAAATAGTTGTTTAGAAATATTTTTTGAAGTTGGATTTGAGTTTAGAAGATTACAGAGAATGTGAATTTGTTTTAAAAGGAATTTTTCGTAGTGGCTCGTAGTGTTAGGATGGAATCTGGCAATATTTCCAGATTTCGACACTAAGATTCAATTTTATTTTCTTAAAATCTAAAACTTGAAAAATATCTCTTAATTTTAGCGACAAAATAGTCTAATTTAAATTTATATTTTTATGAATTTTATTTATTTATTTATTTATTATTATTATTATTATTGTGAATAGCTCTTTCCTTTAACTTGGTTTTTGATTGACATGAAGGTCAATATCCTTCAGCTATGGCCAGATTCTGCTTAAGGTTATATCCGTTCTGGTTGTATTTTTTTTTTTAATAGAAATATTGGCGATGTGATAATTAGCTTTGAAGAATATAATTGTGTGTGGTAAGAACATTATAAAAAAACACTAAAACAGATGGAGTTTTTACTGTCTTTAAACTTACAAAATACTGTTTATTGGATGATATTTTTGTGATTTAAATCAATACTATTTTTGTTATTTTAAGTATTTTTAGCATTTAATACATTCATAACATTGTTTACCCCATGTTACTACATTGAGTAGTATTTTTTTTGTAATTTTGAATTTTTTTAGACATTTTATATGTAAATTTTTGTTAATGTTTTCTTTTATCTTTCATTTTTTCAACAATTTTTATTTTGATTCACAACTTTATTTATATTATAATTTGATCCCTAACTGCTAAAAATAGAGAGAATCGAAGAGAGAGGAGGGAGATCTTTGTATGATTTTTTAAATAATTTTTTACTATATTGTTATTTGTTCTTAAAAAATTGATATAATTTATATGAAAGATTTTTTTAAAATTTTTAAGATATATAATTTAAAGGTTAAAAGTAATTTTCAGATAATTTATCTTAAATTTTTTTAAAAAAAATTATTAGAAAATTTTTTAGTTAAGAATCCATAGATTTTTTATAATTTTTTATATAAGAATCCGTAGAATAAATCATACCTTTTTTAACAAAAAAAATTATAAAAAACATAATAACGTTGATGAAAAACTAGTGATAACATAAAGAACGTGGAGCCTTTAAATTCATTTTTGACACGATTCATTAATTCGCAGAGCAAAGGCATTGAAAGGCATTCATCATCCTCACATGATGAAGGCACTCTAGTTGGGCCCCGCGTTATAGAAAGAAAGTGTGGACCACGAATTTCAACCCCCTTGCATGTCCTTTCTCTAAGAAAATCGAATTTCCAAAGTCACATGTGCTGAGAAAAAGGTGCAGCTGAGGCTTCATTCCTCTTCTGCTACTGCCGTATCGTTGGAGCGTCCCTTTCAGCTGCATTATCTCTTCCAGAAAATTTTCCATTGCGCCATTTTTTTAGGTTCTGACCTGCTAGTTTTTGGGCTCAATACAGTTTCGAATTCCTCGTGCATATTTAGAAATTGTGAGTTGGTGCATGATAGCATCAAGTTAAGAATATCTAAGGGCAAACTTGTGCCTAATTTCTTAAAGTACAGTTTGATCAAATATGACCTTTCCATTTCCACGTTAAGATGTCAATTTCTCATCAGAAATTACATCAGAGTGGAAATTATGGAACAATTGGTATTTCCACTTCGTTAAATCTCTGCTTAAATTTGGAAGACACACATGTAGTAATTAAGGAAGCAAACAATCCTTCATACACTTGAAAGATGAAGCTCCGTTAATATCTAACTAAACATAATGTACAAAATCAATGATAGTTTGTGCATCAAGAAAATCTAAGGATTGTGGTTTAGAGATCAGCTGTTAGACGCTGCTGGACAAGGGAAGATATGATCGTTTACCCTTTGATTGGTGGACAGGAAATTCTCTTCGGGCTGCTTTCGCCACAAATAATTGGCAGTGTCAATCCGTGCAACTTGGATGGACCAAAAATTTTTTGTGCATCAAAGGCCGTCTTCCCATTCCTACCCTTTCTTGAGACCACATGTGTCACCGATGAGTCAAGTTTCGTAGAACATGTGGCTCCCAACTCCTCAGCTATCTTCCAAGGAGGGTCATTTTCAGGCGTGAATTGAGAGGTAACTTTGCTGAATACAATTTTACATTCCTTAAGGATATCCCCAAGAGCTGTTTTCAGTGTCTGCCTCACATCTCTAACAAGAGTAGCATCCAGATTTTCAACAAGTTCCTGCAACAAGGTTTCTTATCAGCAACAGTCAATTCATTAAAAACAAACGAGAAATAGGAAATTTGTGGACAAAACAAGGGAATAGAGGATATGTCTCGAAGACCATACAGTGAATTATCCTTAAAACCTTAAGAATGGATGCAAGTGCTCCATCAGACTCATTCTCATCTCTTTTTAGCTCCGAAAGAGACTCGCAATTGGGGCAAAAGTTTTGAATACTTGAAGCGAAGAATTATATCTTTCCATCAGAATCAAATTGTCTTTATGATTTGTCCACACCTAAATTAAAATAACATTGATAAAAAAATTCTGTAAAAGAAAACAGTACCAATAATTTTTAAGATAAAAGATAAACATATCCATGTGAGCAAGATAGAGCGTCAGTTTTACATGTGACAACTATATTCTTTAGGAACTTGTTTGCATGTAATGATAAATACATACAATTAATATAAGGATTGAAAATTAAGATTAAGCAGAGGCTGATTTGATATGTACTCACATCATATGAATCATCAAAGATAAAAATCAGTAATTTCTTGTCCTGGGACCACATCGAGACCTTTTTGATGTTTTTGGGTTCCATCGTCACCATAAATAATAATTAGGTTGTGTTTGTTTTAGAAAAAATAAGTTATTCGAACTTGTTTTTTCCTTTTTTTCAATTTTTCTATATTTGTTTGAACTTCTTAAAAAAAAGTTAATGAAGTCTATTTTCCAGTAAATAAGAAAATATTTTCCTCTCAGGCTCCGCTGCTATCCATCCCCATTTTCATCCAACGATTGTTGCTTGCAGCCCAACCAAGAATATCTTCGCCACCTAACGTCGCCACAACAAAGCTAACATAACGATCGAGCAAACAACGCCTCCAAGCAAAAGAATGGTTAGATCTGATTTTGTAATAACTCGAATTAAAAAAATGAAATAAAAATAAAATTTTGGGGGTTGATAAAAAAACGGGACAACTTGGTTGTCTTTTTATTTTTCTTTCTTTTCTTCCCCTCCCTCACACAATTCTCTCCCATTTTTCTCCCAATTCCTCTTCTTTGATTCCTATGCTAATTCATGTTAAATTATCTTAAAAAAACATAAATTAGTTTGTTTAAATAGATTATAGCTAGATTGGAGTTTGGGAGCTTCGAAAGCTAGGAAGAAATGAGGGTTTGAGGAGCATTATGTAAAGGTATGAATTTTGATCAATTGATCTTTGAATTGTGATGTTTATAAATTGTTAATGATGATATTGAATTGAAACTGCTTTGGGTTAATGATTTACTTGAGGAATTTCTTACATTGTTAGGTTCTCGAGACCCATTTAGGGGAAAGTTTGATTAAGTGATCCTAGGTGCTTAATGGATGTTTACTTGTCTTTTGCAAGTGAATTAAGACATTAATTTGAAATAAAATTGAATGAATTTGAGAAATTGAGAGGTTGAAGATGAAGAATAGGGACAAATCCGAATTTAAGTTTTAATTGGAAAGAAAATTAGGAAAAATGAGGAATTAAGCTATATACATGCAATTCAAGGTTAATAGAATGAGTATTGAGTGAATTAGAATAGAATTGATCATTTAATCGAATTGAGAATTATTTTATTGTTTAAGGATGGATTGAAGATCTATAAAGGAATGTGATTAGATGATTATTTAGAACCCATTGAAGGATTGTAGGATTTGAGTAGATTATTGGATCGAGTCTTCCCAATCAATTCAATTTCGTTTGATAATCTTATATGCTTGCTTTCGTCATTTTGAATTATTCCTTGAGATATGATATTGATGGATGTCACATCATTTGTGATGCTAGATTCTTCGAATGAGCGACTCCATCACAAACTTGATTTTGTTCGATTCTTCAAATTGTACTATGAATGGATATTATATTATGTATTATGTTTTTGAGTTCTTGATTATGTTCATTCACGCATCATTGTTTAATAATGATTTAGAAGCAATTCTATTAGAACCTAGATGGAAACGGACATTATGAATATTTAAAATAATTTATTGTTCAAATGATTTTATGTGAATTGGAAGAAGATTTGGTATATTTTTTCGGATTTGAACGTGTATACTTTATGTTTGCTATTTTAAGTATATGTGTATTTTATGAAAATGCATGCTTGGTATTTAAAATATTGATGTCAAAATGTATAAGTGTTTATGTTTTCGAAAATTTTTTGGAGATCCTAAGAAACCTAGCTACCGGAGGTAGCTTTTGAGCTCAATGATACAAGGCTTTATCCAGCAAAAGAGGTGTAGTGCTAGACCGTATGTCGATCAACATGCGAAACCTAGTCACGGGAGGTCCGATCTTTGGGTGTCCGTACCCAATGATACATTATTACCCCGGGGTATATAAAACCTATATATGTGTTTTCGTATAAGTATGTATGAACAAATGCTTGATGATTTGATACAAAATAGTTTTAAACCATTTAATTTGTGATATGAATTGTGTTTTCGATGTGCAAGTGTTTTAAGGAATAAGTATTGTATTTTGATATGGCTTTGAGAACATCATTCGTAGTCCATTTCTCTTCCTTAGTATACTATATAATGTCTAGTCATTGAGTTGTGGTTTGCTCACCCCTCATTATTTCGGTTTTCGGGATATTGAGCGATTATTTATTGCTTCCTTTTGGCTACTTTTTATAAAGTCGACACTTTGGTTGTATAACTTATTATCTTGTAATTCCTTAGAAACTATGTACGTTTTGATTTGTTGTATATTAGATGCTTTACAATTATAGTTATAGGTAAAGTATTAGAATTTAATTAAGAATATTGATCTTAGATATTGAAATGAGAATAGTATGGAATTCATGAGATGTATTAATGTTGAAGAAATGCTTATTAAGTTATGATTATGTTGATAGTTAATGATAATTTGGGTGATATTGAATTAGGGACTACAATACAAGTCCAATGATGATATTTAAGGCTTTTAGATCGATATTCGAGGCTTGCTTGGATCGAGATAGGCCTCGTGGTCCTCTTGATCCTCGTGCTGATCATGGCCAACTCTCGGGGCCATGACAGATTTCTTTTTTAATATCATTTGATTTATTTATTTGTGAATCTTCCTTCTCTTGTAAGCTTAAGAGCTTACATATTCAATTAACAATTAATCGGATAAAAAAATAAAGGATTGCTTATTAATTAGGAATAGAAGAAAGATAAAGAAAGTGAAGCCTTTGATTAGTTTATTTTTACCATTGATTTTAATAAAGGTTGATGGCAAATAGATTTGAAGGTTGAGATCTATCAATGATAGAAATTCCTATAAGATATGGCAAAAGCTCGAGACCTTTTTGTACTTGAACAAATTTAGAAGCTTTATATGTCATCTTTCTCCTTTAACAAGCGTAATCTCCAACTCGGCATTAGGGTAGCTTTGACAATTTATCAATTCAACTTTCCGGTTGGTTAGGGTACATTATAAGAATTCCTACTAGAAATGGCGATAAGCAAAGCCTTTTACTACCAAAAACTCATATTTTTGTTTCCTTAAAAATCCGAATTGTTTGATAGAATTCTCCTTTTAGAGAAAGTATTATTCTTCCAGTCGATCTAGAAATTAGATTCAATTTCACTTTGAATTTTGGGCTTAATAAGTTTTTCTAATTCATTCAAACTCGAGCTAATGGTTTAGTCCTTGCTTGATTTGCTTGAATTTAGTGATCTAGGTATATATATGTGTGTGTGTGTGTGTGTGTGTGGACATATACACACACATGCTTTAGATTGCTAGATATTTATTTCAAATTGAAGCTCACATTAGCCTACAAATGAGGTTTACGATGAAGTTGAGGAAAATGAAACACTTAGGATAGAAATGAAGGAAGGAAAATGGAGTAAAGTTGTAATAATCGGTACTTACTAAAACTAAAATTAAATATTTAAAAATATATGAGATATATTTTGAAGATATAAAGTAGTTCACAAAGATTAGAGAAAATATTCAATGTAGATAAAATAGTCATTTTATGCCCAATGAATATTTTATTCATTTTACGAGTGCATGAATAGTAGTTTTTGCATGAAATAACTACTTAAACAATGTTTTTTAAGCATGAAAAATAGTTCATGTGCTTAGAATAATTGTTAGAGGGGTGTTGAATTATTTTATGTACTTGGGTGAATTTTATTATGTGCTATGAATATTTTATTTGAATTTTGATGTGTTGAAATAGTATTTTTAGAGGAAACGAATTTAATTAGGCACCTTAAGAGTATGAGAAATTTTTTTAAGAGCATAGAATAATCATATGGGAGGTGTGAGAGTTCCTCAAAAATTTAAATTAATTTTATTAAGCATAGGGAATATTTTTAATAAAAAATGGTGTGAATTTCACACTAAATAACTAATTTAGAGGCTCAAATGAGGTCCAAAAATTATGAAAATTTAAAATAAAATCCCTTAATAAATATTTGAATTTATTATGAAAATAAATTGGATTTTTGAAGAGTATAGTATGGAATTTTAAAAGTAGGGACTAAATTGCATAAATTTAGCGACTCAATTGCATAAAATTAAAATTTTAATAATCCAAATTAAATTATGTAAGAATTTTAAGGGTCACACATTAGTCATAGAAATGGAAAATGGAGGATTAGAAGTGAGTTTTTGCATGAAAGAGGGATTTAGGAAAGAATAGGCTATAGAAAAGTCTAGAAACTTGGAGGACCAAAATTTGTCATTTTCCTTCCAAATTTGGCCGACCTAGATCATTAATTAATTCTGACTTCCAATAAAAATTATGGCAAAAAATAAGCAAGGTGGAAGGGATAAATAAAAAGATGAATAAATGGCTAAAAATTAGGACAAATGCCAATGAATGATTGGAAATTGAATTAACATTTGAGATTTTTTCATATTAAAGGTGGAGATGAGGTCAATAATTCCACAAAATTTCATATAAAGAGGGGTTCTAGAAAAATAAAAAAGGGGAGGAAAAAGTGAAAAACACAAAGGAAACTCTTACAAAATTTCCATTCAAAAATTTTCCAAAATAATCCTAACCAATTTTAGACCCTCTAAATTAGTGGATTCAGCTTCAATTTCAAGTTGGGAGCTTAATACCTTCAAGAAGAAAAGTAAAAGGGCTAATTCAAGTTTAGGGGGAAAAAGGGGAGGAAGAGGATTTTCAAGCAACCTAACTTTTTAAGGTTAATTTGGAGATTAATCATCTAAGTTAACCTCACCTACACCATAAGCATGCTTAATTTAAACTCAATTTCATATTTAATTTCTTGATTTGATTTAATTGCTCAATTGAGAAAAATTAGGGTTAGGGTTCTTAATGAACCAAATTTGGGAGTTTTGAATTCTTTCATTTAATTGGTGTTTTGGCACTTGATTATGACTTATTTAAGTATTAATTAATGTTTAAGAGTGAAAAATTACACTTTAATTGAAGAAAAATCCACTAATTTTTAGAAATTATAGTGGGCCTAAACTAAATAAATTAGGATTTGAGTTAAAAGCAATTTTATTCTAGTTTGATGGGTCATTCACACTTTAATAAACATGTTTTTATGACTAGAAATGG